CGTGTGGCTCGTCCACCCCGAGGCGCTGCCCTTCGCGGGGGCGCTCCAGCAGCAGGTCGGCGCCCGAAAGCGAAAAGGAGACTGAAAAGTGAAGCTGCTGTAACTTTCCCGCAGATTGCCGGGCCGGGGACCACTGGCTCGGGGGCACGCGCTCCAACGGGGGTGGCTAGCGCCTCGCTGGGAATGAACCCCGTGCCCGGCACGCGGGACCGTGACCCTGGACCCTGTGCCAGGAAGGCAGTGCTCGGGAGGCCGGCGGAAAGCGCCACCGAGACCCACGGTGGGACCAAGCAAACGTATTTGGAACGCCATCATTCGAATCCGAGTGTTTAGAAAGTTGTTGTGGGTGAGATGCGTGTTTGTACAAGTGCAGAATCTCGCCCGAAGGAGACCCGAGAGACTGGTGGGGACGGGGTCGGGCAGCGATGGGACGGAAGGGGAAAGGCTTTGTCCTGTTTCGGTTTCTCACCATGTGCTCGTATTAGCGCACATTTTGTCGCCATTAAATAAGAGATGGCCTTGAGTCTTCACTTCCAGGTACAGCCTTTGGGGCAGAATTCAGTCTGGTCGTCCTCTAGAGGGGCAAGGGCGCGCCCAGAGGAGGGTCCCTCTGCCCGGGTGGCACCAGGCCCGCGAGCATCGAGTAGGTGGACAAAGCCTGCGCCCGAGGCGGCCCAGAGAGGAGGCGCATTTGCCCAGGCAGCGCAGGGCAGAGGTGCCCCAAAGCGGTGGGCAGAGGGTGCTGGTCCACGGGTGAGGGCAGCTTAGCAATGTTCAGTATTTGGGCTTGGATTGTTTCCTTGTGCACACATCACTTTCTCAATAGTTAAAACAACAACAACACTAAAATCCAAGTATCTATTACCATCCTCAGAGCACCTCCACGTGTGAACCTTGCTAGGTCTGGAGGCAGAGGAATGCCTGGGCCCTTGGGGCGGAAGGCAGTAGGGTGAGCCGCATAGGGGGAGAGAAAGATGTCAGGATTCTCAGGCTCACTCCACAGACTGCACCGCAGGGGTTCTTAAACCCGGAACCTCAACCTTGTGGAAAGGGAGGCCCTGACCCAAAATTCACTCAGCCCCATCCCCGGAGAGTGGATCCCTTGGCTGATTAGTTGGGTGCCTTGAGTGGGTAACTGTGATTGACAACAATAAAAGGGGAGGGGGGGGCATAATTTTTTAGCAAAGTGGATGTGCAAAAAAAAAGCCTCTCAAATGGTGAACTCCAGAGG